ATTACACTTTTATTATTATAGATGTTTCTATCTCTCTCTCCCTCTCCCTTCCTCTCTGAAATCAATAAAAATATATTTAAATAAATAAAAGAATAAATAAAATTTACAAAAGCATATCTTCCTGTGAGGGGATTTTAAAAAAAAGGAGGCAGGGGCAGGGGCGGGGGTAATCCTGTCCTAGGAAGGTGTGGGTTTCACCCCCGGCTGCCACCACTGCAAGCAAGCAGCTGCTTTGCCCACATATGTAAGTCTCTCCTCTTCAAGCTCTTGTGAATTTGAATACGGCTACATGTGAGTGCTTCAGAAATGATCCATCCCAAGACTGGGCTCAGAATGGATATCTGCATCCCTTACCTGGTGCTGGGGCAGACTGGAGTATCTTGGTTTTCATTCCTGCAGTGAATGTGGCCTCAATCGGGGACCTCAAAAATAGGGGTGTGCTGCCCTAGCTGGTTTGTCTCCATGAATAGAGCATCGGCCTGCGGACTGAAGGGTCCCGGCTTCGATTCCAGCCAAGGGCATATGCCTGGGTTGCTGGCTCAATCCCCAGTGGAGGGTTTTACAGAAGGCAGCCAATCAATGATTCTGTCTCATCATTGATGTTTCTCTCTCTCCTTCTGTCTCCCTTTCTCTCTGAAATAAATATCCATAATTTAAAAATAGGGGTGTAGATGGCCTGTAGCATTCTCAGCTCCCTAAGAATTTGTGCTTCCCCCTCTATAGATTTCTAGGGTCCCACTGTTACCGATTCAAAGTTCATGCACCCAATGCATCAATAAAGGCCAATATTCAAAGCATCAGAGCTTGGAGGAAGAAAAGGTTTACTGATCAAGAAGGCGCCAGCTGGAGAAGAAGGGGCCTTAAAGCTCCCACAAAGCCATCTCAGGAGAGCCCAGAATTCAGGCTTATTTCGTGTCAAGGGAAGGGAGAGCAGGCGAGAGGGGTGTGACACCTGGGCTCCCACAGGGACCCAAGGAAGAGCACAGAACTCTCTGATTCTCTTTGTCCCCCAGTTCTCCAGCGACCTCTGCTCATCTCATTAGGTATTGAGGCTCCCACAAATCTTTGCCAAAAGTTCAAGCTTTCAGCAGAATTTCTCTAATAATTAGCATACCTAGAGCATGACCTGAAGGCCATGGGAGAAATGCAGGCTAGAAATAAGATAGAATCAGAGAGAGCTTTTCCTTCTGTTACACCACCTGCCCAGGGAGGTCCCTCCCTGGGCAAAGCCTCCCTGCAGAATAACATAATCCCACCGAGAAGGGAGTAGAACCTTACACCCCCTGAGCACAGGCAGGCGCTGCCAGAGGGCAGGGTGTGTGGGAACATTGCTCATTCTCTCTGCCTCCTGCAGGTCAGAGTAAAGCCATTGCCCCACAGATTTCATAGCCGCACGAACCACACCTGCATACTTTCCCTGCCTTTTGTGGGAAGCTGGCTGCTATGTCAATAAGCTAGGCTGCAGCCCTAGCTGGTTTGGTGCTGGGGATAGAGCATTGGTCTGCGGACTGAAGGGTCCCAGGTTTGATTCCAGTCAAGGGTACATGCCCGTGTTGTGGGCTCGATCCCCAGTAGTGGATGTGCAGGAGGCAGCCAATCAATGATTCTCATTCACCATTGATGTTTCTATCTCTCTTTCCCTATCCCTTCCTGTCTCAAATCAATAAAAATATATTTAGAAAAGTAAGCTGGGTTGGAGTGTATTATCACAAGCATTCCCTGAGTCTGGGCAGCCCTGTTGGCTGGGTTGTTGTTTCTGTGGAGGGGAGCAGAGTGTACCGCCCCAAATATGCCTTTGGAGATACTGACTGTTTAAGCTGTTCCTTTCAAGAAGCAAAAGCCTCAGGAAGACCCCTGTCCTTCTCCCTAACTGCCTGAAAGGGATCTAGAAGAGGACCTGCTCCAGGAGGGGAGCTCAGCACAGGCATCTGTAGTTTAATAGGAACTGGGTGGGAAGGACAGAGAGGACACTAGCAAGGCCCTCTGATCACAGTCCTATTGTTCAAGTTGGCCCAGCAAACATCTGTTTTCCATTCCATGTGAATTGCCTTCCTCCTCTTTCAAATCCCAAACCACAACTCCCCTTCTCTTTAGGTCTGGATGGCACCTGTGCCTCAAATGCCCAGTCTTCCCTGGGGTTTCTCATGGCACAATATAAATGTATACTAATAAAAGGGTAATATGCAATTTGGTCATGACGCCCTCACAGTCACGACCAGATATTCTAATTAGTCATGAGCAGTATGCAAATTTACCATCACTACACACAAATAGCCACTCCCATGTGGTCACAACATGGCCTGCAGGTGAGGGACGTTGGGGGCAACAAGGCTGCAGGGGAGGGCAGTTGGGAGCGATCGGGCCAGCAGGGGAACAGTTAGGCGTCTATCAGGCTGGCAGCCAAGTGGTTAGGAGGTGATCAGGCTTGCAGGCAGAAGTGGTTAGTGGCAATAAGGCAGACAGGCAGGTGAGTGGTTGGGAGCCATCAGTCCTGGATTATGAGAAGGATGTCCCAGATTGGAGAGGGTGCCGGCTGGTCTGCGGGACACCACCATTAGTGCACGAATTTCGTGCACCAGGCCTCTAGTATATAATAAAGCTGTCATGTGTAATAAATATGTCATGTGCAATAAAGCTGGCTGTTTGCTCCTGTTAACCTGTCTGGTGTTAATTTGATTATTAGTCTAGGCCAGCCATGGGCAAACTACGGCCCACGGGCCGGATACGGCCCGTTTGAAATGAATAAAACTAAAAAAAAAAAAAAAAAGACCGTACCCTTTTATGTAATGATGTTTACTTTGAATTTATATTAGTTCACACAAACACTCCATCCATGCTTTTGTTCCGGCCCTCCGGTCCAGTTTAAGAACCCATTGTGGCCCTCAAGTCAAAAAGTTTGCCCACCCCTGGTCTAGGCAGAAGAATTTAGAAAGGTGGAAGGAAAATGTGTTTTTGTATTCCCCACACTGTGCTCTTCCTGGCATTAAGGGGTCCAATGGCATGGTAGCACCATCAACTTCCTCATCAAAGGTCACGGCACCCGCCTCTTCACTCTCATCACTTCCCCTGAGATTCTATCCCTTCGCTGCCAATCAGACTTTGTCTCAAGTGCTTGGACCTTAACCTGAGGGAAACCCAGAAGAAAGGTGGCATAACCGATTTATAGGGAAAACCCACAGCTTTCTGTTTGCAGGGACAGGACTAGTGCGAGGTGAGGAAGGCACTTGCCTTGGGTGCAACATTTAGTGGGGCACGAAAATGTTACTGTTATCATCACCCCGTTTTACAGCTCCATGGAAACTGAGGCAGAGGGGACATTGCTTGCCCAGAGTCCCACAGGGAGGCAGGGCTGTTCACACACAGCCTTGGCCTCTGACCCCGCAGTGCTGGTCCCGAGTTGGCCCTAAAGTTTGGAGGCTAGCACAGCGCAGCTCAAAGAAGTCCTCTCACCCAGGGCTGTGTCCTTGCACCTGGGCTCCTGGTCTGGGAGAGGCTCCTGCTCATGGGATGCACAAGCTCCTTGGTGGCTCTTCAGCAAGACCATCCCATCCTGGTCCTGTGGCTGTGGAGTGGCTTTAAGCGGTCGAGGCAGAAGCATATTCCTCCTCCGACACCCTCCATGGCCCC